GGGGGGTGGGGGGCGGAGGGGGCAGCGGGGGTGAGTGAAGTGTAGAGATGGAGGGGGAGAGTGGGGGAAAGGGAATATAGAGGGGGGAAGGATGGGCTTTGTCTTGAGGTGTGGCACGCTTGTTGAACACAGTGTTGGGGAGGTTAAGGTGTAGATAGTAGAAAGTAGTCCTGGAAGGTATCCGTACTGGTTCGCCAACTGACGTGCAAGGAACTGATCTTGACAGGTTCTGTAACTGGTCCTGGAATGTATGTAAGGAACTGGTCTTGACTTATTGCATAACCGACCCGAGGATGGATTCTCGACGATCCTGAACTGATGGGCAAGGTAATGATCGTGACTGGTCGCGGAACAGTTAGAGGAACCGATCTTGACTGACTGTAGAAACAACCATGGAGCGAACTCGGACTTATGCACCCACTCATGTTGGGAATGATCCTGACCGGTCGTGGAACTGATCCTGGAACTGGCCCTGGAACTGGTCCTGGAACTTGTCTTGCAACAGGTCCTGGAACGGGTCCTGGAATGGGTCCTGGAACTCATCTTGAGGGAAAGGATCCTGACTGGTCCTGGAACTGCCCCTGGAACTGCCCCTGAAACCGGTCCTGGAACTGGTCTTGGAACTAGTCTTGGAACAGGTGCTGGAACAGGTCTGGAACTCATGTTGAGGAAAACGATCCTGACTGGTCCTGGAACTGCCCCAGGAACTGGTCTTGGAACTGGTCCTGGAATGGGTCCTGGAATGGGTCCTGGAACTCATCTTGAGGGAAAGGATCCTGACTGGTCCTGGAACTGCCCCTGGAACCGGTCCTGGAACTGGTCCTAGAACTAGTCCTGGAACAGGTCCTGGAACAGGTCTGGAACTCATGTTGAGGGAAACAATCCTGACTGGTCCTGGAACGTGGGTCTGGGAACTGGTCTTGGAACTGGTCCTGGAACGGGTCCTGGAAGAGGTCTGGAACTCGTGTTGAGGGAAACGATCCTGACTGGTCCTGGAACTGCCCCTGGTCTTGGAATTGGTCCTGGAACAGCAAACGAGTCCTGGAACGGGTCCTGGAAGAGGTCTAGAACTCATGTTGAGGGAAACGATCCTGACTGGTCCTGGAACGCGGGTCTGGGAACTCGTGATGAGGGAAACGGTCCAAACTGGTTCTGGAACTGGTTGTGGAACGGATTGGGGAACTCGTGTCGAGGGAAATGATCCGGACTGGTCCTGATACTGTTCCTGGAATGGGTCTGGGAACCAATCCGTAGTCATTGAGGAACGCGTCGTGAAGAGTACATCAAGCACCTGGTGGTGAACAAGGTCAACGCGGGAAGTGCATTCTTGTTGCATTGCTGGACCAGTGCAGAGGTTGAGGGCTCAAATCCCTTTTCGGGGCAGAACTTGTTTACTTCAGATGTGTAGGTCGCTGGTCTGGGTGACATAGAATGCTGTGCACTTTATTCTCCGCACACCAGGTGAAATCGGCACACTCGTATCTCTTACCTTGAAATTGCCACAAGCGTTTCCATTCAGAGATTAATAGGTAGTCGTATTCCTGCTGTTCGCTCAGCCTGCGACGGTAGGAAGGCATTCATTATCAGTGGCACAAAGTTATTGGGCTTTCGATGGCATCTCTTTTTTTCTTCTTACTTGTGCGCATGCGCACACATGCATACACATGTTGTGCGCACACACACACGCACACACACACACACACACACACACACACACACACACACACACACACACACACACACACACAC